ATTCCAAAACCAATTGTATATCCGGGCTCGGGGGTGAATGGGTAATCGGATTTTGATCCGAATTTCGGGTTTTGACCAAGCGGGCCCGGTGTCGGTTTTTGACTTTTTGGGGAAAATATTGGGAAATTTATACATATGAATTTGAATTGATTTCTTTAGCGATAAGATGTTATTAAGTTAATTATGACTAGATACGAGTGGATTGGAGGTGGAATCTAGAGGAAAAGCGCTAATTGAGCTTTGAGTTGGCCGTAGGATTGAGGTAAGTGTTGTGTCTAACTTTGACTTGAGGGATTAGGGATCCCCGACTTAATTGCTATGTGAAAATCCATGTGTGTGGCGTATAGGTGAGGTGACGAGTACCTATGCGCCGCCAAAATTATCTGTTTAGCCTTTTCCCTTCCCCGTTCCTAATATATTGTTTTCCTGTCTTAACTGCTACGTGCTTATTGGTGATTCCATGTTTAATTGCTTCTTGTTAGATGTTGTTTTCTTATTTGAAGGTAGTAATGTTATGTAGTTTCATTGTGTTACATTATTGGTTTAAGTTGGTTTATCGGTGTATCATGGTATACGTTGGTTGGTCTCGCTGTGTAGTAGTAATTGAATGAAGTTTCATAAGTGTATAACCTTCTATTTGTTTTGGTTTGAGGCATAAATATTGTGGAGGGTTTTGAGCTGAATTATGAAATACTTGTTCTTATTGTGTGATTGGTACTGATATGGTGGGATCGGGTGTCACGCTGCAATAGGAGGAATACGGGTGAAATGTGATTGTTTGGTGGGATCGGGTTGCGCGCCACAACAGGAGTAATAAGGGTAGATAGGTGGGATCGGGTTGCACGCCGCAACAAGATGAATAAGGGTGATATATTGAGGAATAATAAGGGTGGACTGATGGGATCGGGTTGCACGCCGTAACAGGAGTAATAAGGGTGAATGTTCATATTGTTACTTATTATAAGGTGGGATCGGGATGCGTGCCGCATCATTTTGTTGTTTATGTATTCTTCCTCTACCGTGATTTTATTTTGTAGCATTGTAACTCTCTTAAGGATTGGTTATAGCTGAGTACTGGCAAGATAATTGAGTTTCGTATTTATTTACTGCAAGCTACTGTTCCATTTCGTTCCGTACATCCTTTTTGCGTTATCATAAACTGTATACAGGTTATATTATAAATGCCCCGCTGTAGCTTCGTCACTACTTCGTCGAGGTTAGGCTCGGCACTTACCAGTACATGGGGTTGATTGTACTGATACTGCACTTTGCACTTTCTGTGCAGATTTTGGAGCTGATTGTGGCTGATCGATAGGTCGGTTGCAGATACTTCACCTAGGAGTCCCAATGTAGTCCTACTGGCGTCCGCAGGCCCTGGCGTCCCCTTCTATGTTTCTACTTTCCTGTTTTCTTTTCTTTCGAGTCAGATGTAATTTCTTTCAGACCAGTATTTTTAGTAATTCGTAGTATGTTCGTGGATTGTGACACCAATTTCTGGGTGGTAACAGTTTCGGTATTGTTAATAGTATATAGATAACCGTTCAATTATGTACTTCCGCATTTATTTCAGTTTGATTTAGTTTTGTTAAATTTTAAATTATAAAATGTAAAGGAAAAAGGTGAATATAACTCTAACGTTGGCTTTCCTAGCGAGGGTGATGTTAGGTGCCATCACTGTCCCGACGGTAAAAAATTCGGGTCGTGACAGAAAATAAAGAAAAAAGTGTGAACTGTTAGAACAAGTAGGGGTAAAATCTCATCTTACCCCTAAACCAAGATTTTGAGTTACCCTTGCATGGAGTGACTTGATTTCTCTATGTTTAGTAATGCATGGCTTGCACTCTATATTTTAGGGATTGTAACACACATAGCCGATCAAATTCATTATTTACTTTTTTTAGCCGGTATATATATACATACATACATACATATATATATGTATATACACACACACACACACACACACACACACACATATATATATATAATAAATTTGTCGGTTATTTTCAGTTTAAGAGATTGGGTTGGCAGCTATTTGGGTTAATTCTTCTGTATTTATTTTATCAAGGTTGATTTTAAATGGACAACCCTCTCTAGAATCATAATATGGACTACAAATTACACATTAATATCGCATTATATAGTAAAAATAGCACGGGCTAGCTAGTTTTCGGATTGGTTATTCAAAAATAGCCAGCGTTTGCAAAGTCATTGAAAAATAGCCACTATTTTACTGCAACAGGGACCGGTCCAGCATAATATACTGGAGATCGGTGCACCTGTGTATGAACTTCCAGCATATTATGCCGGAACTCCAACACGCGAAAAGTTCCAGCATAATATACTCGAGATTGGAGCACCTGTGTATGAACTTCTAGCATATTATGCTGGACCGGTATATTATGCTGGAACTCCAGTATATTATGCTGGAGTTCCAATATACTTATGCTGGAACTCCATTATAATATACTGGAATTCCAGTATACTTATGCTGGAACTCCAGTATATTATGGTGGAGTATTTTCCGATATTGGAACAGTATTTTCGTTCAGATTTATCTTTACATGAAAATAACTAAATTTCGATTACTTTTGAAATTGTGACTATTTTTGAATGACCATTTATAAATTTGGCTATTTTTGAATTTTTCCCCAGTATATAGTACCCAGTAGTCCAGTATATAGGATGTTAGGGTGAGATGTCAACTTTAGATTTTTTTTTCTTTCTTTCTTTGTTATTGGTACTATTGTTTTTATTATGTTAGTGTTGCGTACTTTGACGATTTTATTAAGTACCATCGATAATCCTTCACAAATCATTTAATATATTTATTTCAATATAGATTTGAACTCTGATCTATCTTATCATGATATTAACCTAACTTCACTGATCAACACACCATACCCTTGCATGCCAACTCTCGATAATTTCTACCTATCGAATTTCAATATAAAGGCTAGCATATTTTTATTCTTGGATAGAATAAGAACAAAGAGTTTCAGTAAATTAATATTAGTAAAAGTTTAATAATTCAACTATCTTATCTAATAAAAAGATTACCCGGCTCAGCCCCATCTCCCAATTAATTATAATGACCCGACTGTTGAGATCTAGCAACTCGATCCGTGATTTGATACCTTGAGTATCTTTGCATAATGTATTATAAGTTGCGAGTATTTCGATATCCGATAGGTTCGGGGGTAGTTTGGAAGAGTAATTCTTATTTTGGAAGCTTTAAGTTGGAAGAACTGACCAAGGTTTAATTTTTGAGTAAACGACCTCGAAATCGAGGTTCGGTGGTTTCAATAGGTTCGCCTGGTGATTTTCGACTTGGTTGTATGTTCGAATTTGATTTTGGATGTCCCCAGAAAAATTTGACTTTATTTATCGAAAGTTGGTAAATTGAAGAATTGAAGAGTTCATAAGTTTAACCGATAGTTGACTTTAATGATATCAATCTTCGATATCATCAAAGTGTATTTCAACAACATCGTCCCTTTGCATTGAAATGAATTACTACAGAGGAGTGGGTAGACGTGACGAATTCAATTATAATGGCATTGAACCCATGACTCATTTAGTATTAGGTTCGTAATTAAATACCATATATGTTTAAAAAATTTATAATATACTAAGCAAAAGCCATTTAGTTTTGTCCGAAACTATAAAAACAGAATGGCTCGGCTGTGAGCCTGACACAGCCCACAGGTCACAAGTACACAGGTGCAGTTAGTAGCACAATCAATTATCTATTCTATTGGTCTCGCTTGGGAAACTCTTTAGGTATTAAGAGCAGTTCGCTCTGTAATGGTGTTATTTAGTAATTAATTAATAATAAGTTGTTTTAACCAACAACAAAAAACCAGTTTGACCACCATTTTCTCCTAAGCTTGTTTCAAAATTAGTAGAAAAATAACATTTTATTTAATTAGATATATCTTCGAAATGCCTTTTCATGTGCAAACCTAATTTTTTCATGAGTCAAACACGTGAAATTTGGTTTTAATAATAATATGGTTGTCGGGGAATTATGTGATTATTTCATCTAAAAGTTTAAGTTGTATTACGAAGAGACTTTTATTTAATTAATTATGCCGTCAATAGGTACACACATAAATCGTAATCAGTTGCAATGTTCAAATATTTTATGTGAAGTTCGTTCAACCTTGTTCGAGAAAAGTTCACAAACAAATTGGAATTCGAGGCAAAGGCAGAGCTAGAATTGTTAGTTTATGCGTTCTGCACCACAATTTTTTTACTTATTAAATTTTGATATATTATTATACACATTTAATAAATTTTTTGATATAAATACAGAATTTGATTTAAAGTGACTGGACTTTTACTGAACTCATAATTATTAGGCTGGCTCGCCCCTGACTCGAAGTAGATTCCAAGAGCCGATGCTACTAATTAAAACCTTTTTTTTTTTTCTTTTTCCACTTGTCGCTTTGGAAACTAACTAGCAAGTGATTAATAATTCAAAGTGCAAGTTTGGTTCAACTTAAAACAAAATCACATCTCTCTAAAAAGGGTAATTACGTGGAGAAAAATCAGGGGCGGCTCAATTATAGTAGTGGCCTAAAGCGTGAGGCCTAATCATTTAATTGAAATTTCATACTATTTTAGCTAAAATTTATCTTTTTATTTTTTGGACACAAAGTTATCAATTTATCCTTTATAATCAATATCTTCTAATAATCCTTTTCAGTTAATAAAAAGGTTAATCCATTTAATAAGTTGTGAGAAAGTTTTTGGCATGTAATATTGATACAGTTAAACAAAATATCACAGTATTGGGGGAACTACAATAACCCGGCATAGGCAGTACTATGTATTGTATTTCCTAGTTTTATAAGCTTTAACGGTATTAATATTACATGCCAAAAACTTTGTAACAACTTCAGTTCCTAAAATGTCTGTATTGATGTCCAGAGGAATCTATCCATTTTGCTTTGCTAATTGAAGCCCTTTTAGGAGGGATTTCAGCTCAGACAAAATGCTCTTGTTGCAAGTCGAACTCAAGATCTCCCGCTTACTAAACGGGTGCTCTAACCAACTGAGCTACGAGAGCCTAGTTAAAGAACGTCAATTTTTTTTATTGTTTGTTAAGACTTCATCAAGAAAATCTTTTTAAAATTATATCAAATTTCAATTCTTCTCCTTTTTTTTTTCTTGAGACTTGAGGTGGTCCAATTTTTCAGTTGACATATTTAAATTCTAGTATATAATAAAAATATAAGATATACTTAGAAATAAGCATACAGGAAATAAAGCTATCACATAAAAAATATTATAACAATATAGGAGTAATTTAATGCTAGAAGTTGATAATTTTGACAATTGATATCGAATAATCAATTTTACTTTGTTTATTTTAATGCTTAAAATCTTTCAAAAGAATAAAATAGAATTGGGAAAATATGACCTTAAAAAGGAAACCGGAATGTGGTATGTCCGTAACTCCATCCATAAGTTGTCTTTTTTTGCTAATTCTTTTCTTCAATACTTTCTATTAAAAATTAAGCTAAAAGCATCAACAACAACCCAGCTGTTTCCGAAAGACCCTCGGCTCAAGAGAATAAAAAGATAAAAGGAGACAATATTAGTTTGACCACGAAAATCATAGGAAAAATAGGAACAACATGAAATCCAGAAGAAAGATGCAAAGCAAAAGCGATGACTAGTAAATAGGTCCTGCACTGAAAAGTGAAATAGTAAGACACAACATCGCCACTAGCTATCTTAGACAAAAACCCTGCCAGACTAGGCTCACAAAGGTACAAAGTAAGGCAAGACTCAACTACCTCCTAACCTGCAACCCTAATACTCGACCTCCACATCTACTATCAAGTGTCATGTCCTCAGAAATCTGAAGCCTCACCATATCCTGCCTGGTCACCTCTCCCCAATACTTCTTAGCTCAAGCTAAAAGAATCATTACTACTCCCTCCGTTCCAGTTTATGTGAACTTATTTCTTTTTTGGTCTGTTCCAAAAAGAATGACCTCTTTCTAAATTTGGAAATAATTTAGTTTAAACTTACAATTCTACCCTTAATGAGAAGCTTTTACAACCACACAAATACTCTGGGCTTCTTTTTGACTTGTTTAGGACCACAAATTCCAAAAATCTTCATTTTTTTAAACTCCGTACCCAGTCAAATAAGTTCACATAAGATAAAACGCAGAGAGTACTAATTTGTGCGGCTCCAAGTGCTTGGGGGCCTAAAGCAAATGCTCTATTTGCTTGGCCGTCCAGCCACCCCTGAAAAACAACAAGTTGGGATATGTAGTATCTATGGTGTAGGTTTGTAATAAATTTATTTTAAAAGTAAACACTATTAAGGAATTGAAGGTCAGTACATACATAGACTGATGCTATTTAGAGCATCCGCTGCCATTACGGGTGTTTAAACAAAAAATAGAAATTTCGGTCAAAGCTAATATTTTAGAAGAACCCGGGTTACTGATAATTAAGAAAACTAGATTGAAACAATTAGACTTGCAATAAGAAAGCAATAAGAATGCGTAAAAGTAAATGTATTTAAGTCGTAGTTCGAATGTGTCTCTAGGGAACTTCTTAATATAACGCCTACTCTTATTAATGATTGAGCATTAATGACTAATAATATCATTAATGTAACGTTACAATAGGTAATCGTAACTGTTGCGTGAAGATTATGTAACGTTTGGCTCATTGATTGAAGATCTTTGAATCTGCCCTTTATCTTGCCTTGGTTCATTCTGACCGTGTCTTTTCAACTCCTCAATTAGACTGAGGTTCCCGCATCTAATTGTCTTGTGGATATGTTGTTCCATTCCTCTTTGTTTCGTACCTCTTTGTAAATTTGTGACCAATTGTCATGTTTCTATTGCTCCACATGGATGGCCTTGTCATCAGAAATATTACACGTGTGAAGTCTACTTTTTACCAATACATATAGTTCCCCCACTTACCATTTATTTATCGATTAAATATTTGGTAAGTGGATACTCATTTATGGCGGGAATTTTTTGCCGCCACTTCACTCGTACCATCGCATCCGTCTTTGAATGTATACGTCGCTTGTCACTTCCATTTAATGCTCGCGCCACGTGGCATTCTCATATTGGTTCTGCAATTATTCAGCGTCTTTTAGGGCTTTTTGCGGCTGCATCAGCCACGAAGTGACAATTTCAATTATGACTTTCACATCATTACTTTTTCCATTTTTTGACGGTCGCCTCTGAGTATAAATACCCCTTTTTCTTTCCTTTGTTTCCACGAAAAACTTCTAACTCTCCTTCAGTGTTTGTAAATTCTTCTTTGTCGTAATTATGTCTTCTTCAAGCCAGCAACCCAAAAAAGTTATCATTGTAGATGAACTATCTCCTTCTCCTACTCCAATCCGAAGTAGGAGGGGTGGTAGGCTAAGAAGTTTAAGTTCTACACCTTCCAGGGGTTCTTCTTCTTCTCATAATATTACTCATCCGACATCTTTTAAGCCTAATATTTCTTTGTCTTCTTCGAGGGCTAAGGCTTCTAGATCTTCTTCTAAGAGTAGGGAACTTAACGAACCACTTCGTGATCCAAGAGTTGATGAAATTGTCCCTGCCGAGTTTTCTTTTATAAAGGATAGTGAGGCCATTAGTAAGCAGCTTTCTTCCATGTTATCGCATGATCGTGCTGACCTTTATCCTACCCAAATAACAGAGGGTTTAGTGTCACTTATGCGTAGAGATTGCTGTTGGAAATCTAATTTTCCAGTTGTAGTTCCTAATGACATCCAGAGAATAACCTCTTACAGAACTGGGTATTCTTTTTTGTACACTTATCCCTTTACTTTAGGATTTAAGCCTCCCATCGACCCTGTCATCATAGAATTCTGTCGATTCTTCAATGTTTATTTGGGACAAATCGGTCTTCTTGTTTGGAGGGCAGTTGCATGTCTTAGGTATTTGGCCAATTTAGCTTCATTTCCTTTTACTTTCCATCATCTTATTCATCTCTATTCCCCGATGCTATTCCGCTAAGGAGTTTTTACTCTCGCGGCTAGGAGTAAAAGGGTTATAGTTATACCTGATGATGACAAGGATAGAGGATGGTATGTCCGATATGTTGCTGTCCCTACTGCAGGTTTGGTAGGTAAAGAAAATATCCCCTTTCCTGAGAAGTGGAACTTTGCACGTGAGTACAGTTTTGCCCACTTTCCTTCTTTATTTTTGATAAATTACCAGTATCGTGACTATTTCTTTTTCTTTTGCAGCAACTATGGGAACCGTCGAATAAATCTCCGGTTTCCGTAATTGGATAGAAAAATTACTGCTGATCGCTCCTATGGAAGAACATTCTTGGAAATTTCTCTCGTCGAAGTTTGGTTGGAAGGTGAAAATCCATAGTAAGATTTTTTTTAATTTCGTTTCTTTTTCTTTTATAGCTTTTCTGATCCCTTTCATTTGTTAGGGTTTCCTGCTCGTGGAATCTCTGCTGCTGCTGTGTCCGCTTCAAAACTTTCTTTGGCTAAGGCCCAAGAAATCATTGTTAACTCCTCTTCGTCAAAAAAGAAGGCAAGTGGGTCCCAGACCTTGGAGGATGAGGAAGAACAGGAGGAGGGTTCGCTGATTCTGAGGTCGCGAAGAAGGAGGGTCGTATATGACGATGAATCTGTTCCCGTTGCTGATCCTTTCGTACCTGAAATAGAGCATTCTGCTCCTGAAGATGTAAATCCCTCTCCTTCTAATGAATCAATTGAACATCTGTTCCACCAAGGCTTTGGCACAATTTTAGAGAAAGCACCTCTTGCTACTTTCCCTCCGTCTGCTCCTATGGAACTTTCGTTTACTGCTCCCGTTACTGTTTCTGTTCCCCAGCCTATTCCATCCGTGGCTCCTTCATCTACCCCTACATCTGTGCCTTCTATTATTGAAGCAGGATCTTCTAGTAGTGGGGTGATGAGGCAAATAATGATGGAGGTTCCTTCGGGAGGCAGCCTCTTAAAGAAGTCAGGCCATGCGGATGTATAGTTAAAGCCCCTGATAGGCCTGGTTGAGAAGTCTAAGTTGGAAAGTCAAAGCTCCTTAACTTAGATGAACGAGATTGTGCACTCGTCCCTGAAGGTAGACTTTATATCATCCCTCATTATTTTCATATCTTTTACCATATCTAACTTCTCCTTTTATGCAGATCAATCTTATTGGCACATAATTAATGAAAAGAATCATTCATACGGAGCAATTAGCAAATGACTATCATACTGAGGCTGACAACTGGAAGGAGCAGTTCGAGAGTCTTCAACTTGATATGGATGCAGTAGAGGAAGAGAAATGTAACCTGGAACAGCAGATTAGAGTAATTGCAGCGGAATTGGCCATAGAGAAGGCAACATCAAATCAGGCAGGTAAGGATAAAAGTATCTTGGAGTCTTCCTTTGTGGAACAACTTTCCCATGCTACTGAAGAGATAAGAAGCTTGAAGGCTTTGTTGGATCAAAAGGAGGCTTACGCTGGTGAACTTGTGCAATCACTTACTCAGACTCAAGAAGACCTTCGTGAATCTTCAGACAAGATTCAATTTCTGGAAAGATCCCTTGCCCCTTTGCAGGCTTCTTATGATGCTGTCGTGGTTGAGAGAGATGAGCTAAGGGCCGATATCGAACAATGGGAGAAAGACTACAAGGCTTTTGAAGACAAAGCAGTTGTTGATGTAAGTTGGGCTTATTTGAATGCACCGCTTGACACTTTGACGGAAATGGGCCAAGAGAATTTTGACGTAGAAGTTGAAATTGCCAAAACCAAGGAGACGATTGAAAAGTCTCGGCAGAGTCAAAATTTTTCATCACCTGAAGTTGAGATCCCAACGGGTGACGAGATCGTGCCTGATGAAGCTGCTGCTCAAGCCTCGCCATCTCAAGCCGCCCCTTCTTCTGATGAAGATAATCCCCCCAGTGTCTAGTGAAAGAGTTTATTGAACCCTGTCCTTTTTTTTTGAACAATTGGTGGTTACCCCTGGTCCCATTTGGGGATTATGTTTTTTGTGATAGCAAGTCCCCAGGTCTTTTCGGGGCTTTTTGTAAAAATGACAATCAGTTTATGAC